ATTTTAAAACGTGGAGTAGTGGTAAGAAAGAAGGTGCAGAATGTCGAGGGTTTTTTTTTTTTAAAAAAAAAGAGGTGCAGAACGTGGAATTCTTTTATATAAAGGAAGCGAGTGCAGAGGAAAAGGGGGACTTTTCGGAGAGCTTTTCATCTAAAAATGTGTGTGCGTGTGTGCAGAAGAAAAATTTTCTGAAGACAAGTGCGTGTGTGCAGAGAAGTGAAAGAAAGAAAGAAAAAAAAAGGTACAGGTGTGTGTAGGTGCGAGTGTGCAGAGAAGTGAAAGAAAGAAAGAAAAAAAAAGGGTGCAGGAGACGTGAGAAGAAAGAAAGAAAGAAAAAAAAAATACAAAAAATACAAAAAATAAAAAAATAAAAACAAAAGGTGTGCAAGTAAAAAAAAGGGGGTGCAGGTGTGCATTGACAGTGACGTGAGGAAAAGAAAAATATACATCCTCAAAAGTGATATTTCAAAACAACAAGGTAAATACATGTTTTGATATTTTAGTCTTTTTATGCACTAACAATTTTAGTTTTCTGTGTTATTAAACAGATACAGTGCATTTAAATCAAGTCTTAGATACACTTTAAAGTGTGGGATTGTGATTTACTCCTTGCTACTCTCCATGAAGATAAATCTTATATACGCCTTATGGTGTGAAATTTCTTATTTGTAATGCTCTTAATAAATTCTGAATGCACTCATGGTGTATAGTTTCTCGTTCTCATTACAATCCTATGATTATCACTAAGACTTGGATTTCCTTTTAGAGATTTATATAAGTCAAATGTGATTTCAAAAAAATCAAGAATTAAAAGTTTCCCAAATTATTTGTTACGATTCTTTTGAGTGCAATTCGAGTAAAAAATTCATACGAATTATACTTTAAAGATCGGCATATGAGAAATTATGTGCATATAATTTATATGAAAATATTCATATGAATCACACTATACCCGCCAAGAAGCAATCAAATAAGTGTTAGGAATTTACGCACGCTTTCTAATTCCTACGGATCGTTGAGAACGAAAAATAATTGCGGAAGAAAATAAAAGCAAACATACCAAGATTTATAGTGGTTCACTCTCAATGTGAGAGCTACGTCCACTTTAGGTCACTGCAGCAAATATTCCACTATAATGAAGAAAAGTACAAGAGAATTAAACCACTCTCTGCCTCAAGGTGTTTCCCAAGCCCTCACAAGTCGTCTCTAATGACATCCCCTTAATCCAAGTCATTTTAAAATAATGAGAAAAGAAAGCTTATATAGCATTTAGCCTAGGGTTTTCGTCGCAAAAGCCTGGCGTCGCGACGCTACGTAAAAATAGCGTTCCTCGCCTCACAAGCGTCTCCCGAAACCGCTCCGTATGCCCTTCTATGACTTGATTTGGCTCCACACACCTTAACAATCTCCCACTTGGAGAGTAATCAATCACCAAGTCTCTGCTACAGCGACCCCGACTTCTTTCTACTCCTGAAGAAGTCCAACTGAGGTTGAGCACAACTTCAGTTTCTCGATCGGAACAGTCTTTGTCAACATATTTATTGGATTCAGACTCCCAAGCATTTTCTCAAGCACAAGCACTTCATCTTCCAAGGCCGATCTTATGAAGTGATAACGTACCTGTATATGCTTCGTCCTAGCATGATAAATAGGATTTTTCGCTAAATGAATAGCGCTCTGACTGTCACAATGTAAGACACTCCTCCCTTGTTTGTGACCGAGTTCTTCCAAGAACGACTGCAACCAAACCATCTCCTTGCTGGCTTCAGTCACTGCTACATACTCAGCCTCAGTAATGGAGAGAGCAACTATCTTTTGCAGCTTCGAAACCCAGCTGACTTCCATACCACCCAATGTATAAACGTAGCCGATTGTAGTAGCCGATTGTACTCTTCCTACCGTCAACATCCCCAGCCATATCCGCATCAACATAACCTTGTAGTTCCAAATCTGACTTTTGGAAACACAAGGCTAAACCACTAGTACCCCTCAGATACCTGAGAATCCACTTCACTGCTTCCCAGTGTTGTTTGCCCGGATTGCTCATATACCTGCTGACAACTCCCACTGCATGTGCAATGTCCGGTCTGGTACACACCATGGCGTACATGAGGCTGCCTATAGCTGAAGCATATGGCACCTTAGCCATATGGGCTCGCTCCTACTCCGTAGTAGGTGACTGCTCCTTTGATAGCTTAAAGTGACTAGCCAAAGGAGTACCCACAAACTTCGCATTCTCCATGTTAAACCTGTTAAGCACCTTCTTCATGTATTCCTCCTGTGACAGTTTTAAGACACCACTGTCCCTTGTAATCCTCATCCCAAGGATTTGTTTCGCAGCACCTAAATCCTTCATAGCAAACTCACTAGACAACTCCTCTTTCAACTTGTCGATTTCCAGTTTGCAAGCACCTGCTATCAACATATCATCAATGTATAGCAGTAGAATAATATAGGAGTCTCCAAAGCTCTTCACATAACAACAGTGATCTGCTTGGCACCTCAAGAAATCATTGCTCACCATAAACCTGTCAAACTTCTTATACCACTGCCTTGGAGCTTGTTTTAGACCATACAAGCTCTTTTGAAGTTTGCACATCATCTTCTCCTTCCCTTGTACTTCAAAACCTTGTGGCTGCTTCATGTAAATCTCTTCCTCCAAATCACCATGAAGAAAGGTCGTCTTCACATCCAATTGTTCCAAGAATAAATTCTCCTTAGCCACCAATGCAAGCACCATCCGGATAGTGGTTAGCTTCACTACCGGGGAAAAGATCTCGGTGTAGTCAATGCCTTCCTTTTGTTGAAACCCCTTTACAACCAACCTTGCCTTGTATCTCTTGCTACCATCATGCTCTTCTTTAATCCGGTACACCCATTTATTATGCAAAGCCTTCTTACCCTTAGGTAACTCCGCCAGTTGCCACATTTGATTGGACATTAGAGAGTCCATCTCATCCTTCATGGCTAACTCCCACTTAACCGATTCTTTAACCTCCATGGCTTCCTCATAGCTCTCCGGTTCCCCCTTATCAGTCAACAAGATATAGTGCAACGAAGGAGAGTACCTTTGTGGCGGTCTGATGGTTCTTCTGGATCTCCTGAGAGGGGTGACAAGAATGCCTTGGTTTTCATCTGGAGCTATATTCTCTTGATCTTCATTAAGAGTGTCCTCCACCTCAACTTCAGGAAGATTTTTGAACGGAATCACCTCCGGCTTCTTCATCAAATTAGTCTCGGACTCCGCACTTGATCTATCCTTGTATAAAACGCCTTTGTTGAAGATCACATCCTTGCTCCTGATTATCTTCCGACTTTGGTCATCCCAAAAGCGATAACCAAACTCGTTCTCGCCATAACCAATGGAAAAACATTTCTTAGATTTACAATCTAACTTGCTTCTAGCAGTGGGATCAATATGAACATAAGAAACACAACCAAACACTTTTAAGAAAGAAAGGTCTACCTTTTTGCCGCTCCAAACTTCCTCCGGTAGCTTGAAGTCCAATGGTGTAGATGGACCCCTATTGATCAGAAAAGCTGCAATGTTAACTGCTTCTGCCCAAAACATCTTAGGTAGTCCCGCATGTAATCTCATGCTCCTAGCACGCTCATTCAACGTCCTATTCATCCGTTTAGCTACACCATTCTATTGTGGTTTCCCCGGAATGGTCTTCTTCATCTTGATCCTATTTGTAGCACAAAACTGCTTGAAGTCCTCATCTATGTATTCACCTCCATTGTCAGACTGCAAACACTTCACCTTCAAATATGTCTCATTCTCCACCATTGCTCTCCATCTCTTGAAAGCATCGAACACATTATATTTTTTTTTCCAGAAAGTAAACCCATACCTTCCTGCTTGAGTCATCAATAAAGGTCACATAGTAGTTAGAGCCCCCAAAAGAAGTAACGGTTGAAGGCCCCCACACATCGGTATGCACCAGCTCCAACTTGGTAGATTTAGGCTCTCTACCCGCGTTTGAAAAGCTCACCCTTTTCTGCTTACTGAAGATGCAAGCTTCACACAAGCTGTGGTCTACCGTCTTCAACCCCGGTATCTTCCCTTCCGACTGAAGCACCTTCATACCCTTCTCACTCATATGCCCGAGCCTAAAATGCCATAGCTCGGAGCTAGCAGCGGAATGAACCATTGCAACCATATCCTTGCAACTAGAGCTAATGTAGAGAGTTCCGGTCTTCTTTCCCTTAGCAATCGTCATGGCTCCCTTTGAGACTTTCCAACCACCACAATCAAAATTCACATTGTACCCTTCGTCATCAAGTTGTCCTACTGAAATCAAATTACGTGTTAACTTTGGCACGTGTCTCACCTTATGTAGCTTCCATAAAGACCCGTTAGGCGTCTTCAAGCTAACCTCCCTAATGCCAACAATATCCATGGGTTCTCCATCCACAAGATAAACCCTCCCATGATTTCCAGCAACATAATTCTCTAGAATTCCGCGATTAGAAATAGTGTGGAAAGAGGCTCCAGAATCAATCACCCACGAGTCAAAAGAACTATCAACGGACAAGAGTAACGCATCATTTACCTCATCGGTAACCGCATTAGCCGCATCATTATTCTTGTTCTCGTTCTTCTTCGGTGCCTTACAGTTCTTCTTCAAGTGACCCATTTTGCCACAATTCCAACACTCCACATTCCTACCATTCCTGGACTTGCTTCTACCATTCTTCTGCTTGCCTTTATTACCATTCCCTTTGTTGGAGCCATTCTCGGTACTTCTGCCTCTCATCTCGACATTAAGAGCCGAGTTCGACCCCGAGGCATCTCCAGAATCCTTCCTGCGAATCTCTTCGGCAAGAATAGTATTCCTAATACTGACGAATTTCATCGCCGCCTTCCCCACCAAATTGCTAACAGCCGCTCTCATGGGTTCCCAACTATTTGGTAATGAGGCCAAGAGGATTAACGCACAACCTCCTCATCAAATTTAATCCCAACCGAGACCAATTGATTGATAATGGTATTATAACTATTTAGGTGTTCTGACCACCGAACCATCATCAGACATCTTAAGATTGAAAAGCTTTTTCATAAGATGTACCTTGTTATTCGCCGTGGGCTTCTCATACATATCGGACAAAACCGCTATCAATCCCGACGCCGTCTTCTCCTTTGCAACGTTGTGAGCAACGTTCTTCGTCAACGTCAAACGGATCATACCCAACACCTGTCGATCAAGGATCTGCCATTCTTCATCCTTCATGCCTTCTGGCTTTTCTCCCAGAGGCAAGTGCAATTTCTTGCTGTAGAGGTAGTCCTCCATTTGCATCTTCCAGTATGCAAAATCCAGCCCATCAAATTTGGTGATACCCAACGTCGATACTTCTTCGCCAGCCATCGATCTCAATTCGAACCAACGCTCTGATACCAGTTGTTAGGAATTTACGCGCGCTTTCTAATTCCTACGGATCGTTGAGAACGAAAAATTATTGCAGAAGAAAATAAAAGTAAACACACCAAGATTTATAGTGGTTCACTCTCAACGTGAGAGCTACGTCCACTTTAGGTCACTGCAGCAAATATTCCACTATAATGAAGAAAAGTACAAGAGAATTAAACCACTCTCTGCCTCAAGGTGTTTCCCAAGCCCTCACAAGTCGTCTCTAATGACAGCCCCTTAATCCAAGTCATTTTAAAATAATGAGAAAAGAAAGCTTATATAGCATTCAGCCTAGGGTTTTCGTCGCAAAAGCCTGGCGTCGCGACGCTACGTAAAAATAGCGTTCCTCGCCTCACAGGCATCGCCCGAAACCGCTTCGTATGCCCTTCTATGACTTGATTTGGCTCCACACACCTTAACAAGAAGTAAGACAAAAAAAAGGGAAACAAGCGTCACCTGGTATCTTCACAGTGCACCAAACGACACACACACACACACACACATATATATATATATAAAGCCGTGGGTGTGTGAGATAAAAGGCTGTGGGTGTCAGCCGTGGGTGTGTGTGTGAGATATGAAGCCGTGGGTGTGTGTGTCTTGCTGTGTTGCGTGAGATATGAAAAAAGGATTTCAATTCCTTTTGAGATTAGAAGATCAGTTAAAACAAATCAAATCAAAACAAATTAAATCATAACAAATCCAATCCAAACGGTGAATTTGATTTTGAATTTTAAAATTCAAAAAAAAAAGGAGAAAGATAATAAATTTCAAAGAAATTTGGAATATTAAATACCCAAAAATTCAAAGTTCACAAATTGAGCCCCTTTATTGCCCCTTAGTTCAAAAAGATGAGCTCATTGTCTCATAAAACCATATGGTGATTAAATACAATTTTCAAATCTTAAATTCAAAAAAAAAATCTCTCTCAACACCAAATTCAAAAAGAATCCTTCTAATTCCCCACAAGGTCATATACCGGGAAATTATCCAACTATAACTTTCAAATTCAAATTCTAAAGTAAAATTCCAAATCGAATTTTAAAACATCTTTGAATTCCTCCTATGGTCATATATCGGGGAATTCTCCAAAATCCAAATTCAAATTCAAGAACTGGGATTGACTTGATTCCCTATTAGATACGTAGGCAACCTAAAATTTAGGTGTTGTTTCAAGATCAAATTCAATTCTAAAAAACCTCATAAAAGACAAAATCAAAACAAAACTAAATCAAATTTCAAAGTACATAAATTACTCATAAGGTCATACACCGAGGAATTATCCAAAATTTTCAAACCCAAAATTAGAACTACAAGTGGCTTGATCGCTCAACGGGGTATGTAGGCAACTCAACAAAATTCATTGAGTTCAGCTACAATTTTAAATCAACCAAAATTTCTCAAATTCACAAAAAAATAGTATTTACTGTTTTAATTGGAATCAAAAGGTTTTCCCTTGTACCAAGGGATTGTAATTAAGAGATTATTCTTATAATCTTGAATGGGTCGAACTAAAAATAATAAACTCATATGCTAATTAAATCCTAGTATAGGTGAAATTATGTTGTGTGTGAAATATTATTTTAATATTAATAAATATTTTTACCCAACATAGTTTTTGGCACGCCCGGTGGGACCCATTCTCATTTTCATCTCCAGTTATAATTGTAATATTTTATTATAATAATCATTTAAATATAATCATTGGTGTCATTTTATTTTGCAGAATGGCACCACAAGTTACCGTGTACTTCCATCGACTCCCATCCGTAAGGATTGCTGGGGAGCAAAAGAAGGTGGGGTTTAAGACAACCTTCGCAATCACTGGGGCACCTGCTGCTGCCATGGTGCCAAAAGTGTTTGAGGTTTCCAAGGCAAAGCCATCTTCAAAGGCTCTTTGCGGTAAGGCTACCAAAGGGTTGAAGAAACGACAAGCAAGGTCTGTCAAAAGAAAGTTTAAGCAAGCTGTGAAGACCGTAGCTATTCTCTTTCCAAAGATCGCCGAGGATGCGAAGGTTAAAACAGTCAAAATTGTCAAGACTTGTCTTGCAGAAGCCGTTAAGATCACGGATCAACGACCAGTTCAGATTATGATTGGTTCAATCCCCATTAACATAAGTACAGTAGAATCTGTTATGATGACCAGTGCCGAAGAGATATCTACTCCAGCTTCTCTGATAATAAAATAGGTGGACAGCTTCACTACATCACCAAATGCTTCAAAGACTCCCGAAAAGAGTGTACAAAAAGGGAAAGTAAAGGCAATAGTCAGTGAAAGAAATCAAATGGGCTTGGTCACTCAATTTGGAGAAAACTCAATGAAGAAAGTTATAAGTGGTGGACTGAGAATGCCATGAGTGAATCTTAGGCCATTATTCAACGATAAAAACCAAAAGCGAGATGACAAAGGATTGATCATTATGACCAAGAATTGCCCAGCGACGGAGATTACTGTTGACGATGAAGTGGAATGAAATGCAATGGCACCATGTAAGGGACCAATCACACGATCAAAGGCACGTTGTATGCATGATTCTTCTGGTCCTCAATCGATTAGAGATACACCTCTAATAGGTCAAATGGGATTGTCGACTGCTGATAACGATATAGAATCAAGAAATATGCCAGTTTCAGTTACTGGGACGACAAGCATAGAGGAGCAAGGTGAGCAAATCTGAGAATTAAGAAGGATGCTTGCTGAGAAGGAGGCTGAAGTCGCGAGACTCTCTATACATTTGCAAGAAAATGTGGGTATAGGTCAAGCATCTAGACTAGGACAGACATCTGCATCCCCAATACCCTAACCAGGCTTGAGAACTGAGATAAGACAGCCAGGGGATCCAATACCACAACCAGACTTGAGGGCATTGATTATGGATGGAATACGAGAATATCAAGCTGCTATGTGTATGCCGGTATTAGGATACCGAAAGCCTTACCCGGCACATTATGATCAAATCCTTTTCCCTCGATATTATGTAAGGCCAAATTTTGAAAAATTCGATGGGATAAATGGGTCTCCACACTAACATATGGCATATTATACCTCTGCATGCGGTGAGACTGCTCAATCAGACGCACTATTGATTAGACAATTTGTGCAATCTTTAAAAGGAGCAGCATTCACATGGTATACATAACTTCCTCCAGGTTCCATTATTACATGGGATGATATGCAAAAAGCATTCCTAGCCCAATTTGTCTCCTCAAAAAAGAAAGTAACAATCACAGATTTAGTGGAAGCTAAGCAAAGACCGAGAGAAAGTGCAAATGACTTTATCACTAGATGGAGGAACCTTAACCTCTAATATCCGGAAAAATTGACAGAGATTTCTGCGGTTTCCATGTATGCTAATAATCTCGTGCCAGAAGTAGCTACTTTATTGGAAATGTGGAACTATAATCTTTTAATGAATTGGTTTCAAAGGCGAGCGTGGTTGAAAGGCAAATAGCTTGTCAGGAAAGTGCCATGATGAGATCTCACCCAGAAGAAAAGAAAGTTGAAAATAGAAAGCCATTAAAAAAGACCGAAACAATGGCTACCTTTGTTAAAAATGACAAGAATCAAAACAAAAGAAAAGCAAGAGAAGAGTCAAAGAAACTCACTCTTAAGGAAAGAAAAGAGGTTAAATATTCTTTTAATGATGAGGATGTGGAGCAAATTTTTGATAAGTTGCTTGCTGCAAAGGCAATAAAACTCCCTGAGCCAAAAAGGCCAAATGAGGTTGATAAGACCGATGATCCCAATTATTACCGATACCATCGCATCATCAGTCATTCCTTAAAGGATTGTTATGTCCTGAAGAATATAGTCGAAGGAATGATCAAAAGAAAAGAAATAGAAGTGGATTCTTCATGTCCAAAGGCAACATCAAATACCATCTCATTAGTAGAGGATGACCGTTTACTGGTGAATACCCTACGAAGGGGAGCCATTCCGGTAGCCTTTGAAATAGACGATGAAATAAAGGTTGTCAACTTATACCCTGAGGCACCCACTCCAAGCAATGCCAACATGCCCATGTTGTATGAACTCATGAATGAACCAAGTATTGAAACGTGGGAAGATCTACCGGACAATAAACCTGAGTTAGGAAATGAGTGGCACCTTCATGTGAATAGGAAGTCCAAGAAGAATGAAAATCGTTTACAAAGAAGTGCGAAGCCATTCAAAAATTCAGGTATTCGATTTATCGGGAGGCCCAAACTAAAAAAGAACAAAAAGAAAAGAAGAAGAACCAAGAAAATAAGGAATCTTAATGAAGAAGAATACATGCAACCAACAAGAACGCCATTCACGCTAAAGGAATTTCTGCCTAAAGCACTTCAAGATGATCCTAGAGCTTTCAAAGAAGAAAAGAACAATAGTGATATCGCCTCTGAAATATCACTAGAGGAAGAGTCATTTTATGATGAAGATGTCGTTCATTGTTACGTGATTTCTAAAGAAGAAGAATGAGACAAAGAAGAAGGGATGAAAGAGCCCGTTTCCCTTCAAAATGTCATCGATTTAGAAGAGGTAGATGAGATACCACTTCGGAAAATGAAGCGCAACATTCAGAAAGCAAAAGAGGCAAATGAGCGCATAAAAGGCAAGAAAAACACAAAAACTGAAGACAACGGAGCCCATCCTAAGTCTATCAGAGAAGAAGAAAATCGCTCATGCCATGTTAATTACAATATTCTAGCTCATTTAAAGTGTATTCCTTCTTTGTTAAGTGTTTATGATGCTCTATAAATGTCTCCAGAGCTTAGAAAAGCTCTCATAACTGCATTGACCGATCTTGAACCTTTTAAAGGGAAAATAGAGGCTCCCGGAGGTAAAGTGTCATCTTATGATATATGCGCATCTTGCATGGTATGCATCTCCTTTAGCAACGATGACCGCCAACTTGGTGAAGAAAACCACAATCGACCACTTTATGTTACGGGAATGATTCTAGATATTGAAATAAACC